TTCTCGTTCCTTTTCCCCCTTCCCTTTCCTTTTCTTCCCCCCTTCGTTTTGTTTTCCTTCCTTCCCCCCCTTCCTTTCCCCTTCCCCCTGGAGATCCCCCTGAGCAGAAGCGTGAATCCCCAGATCCGCATACGTCTGCTTAGAGCTGCAGGGTGAAGACGGAGGTGTTTGTGGTGGTGGGACGGGAAGTAGCGGCCGTACAAAAGCGCAAACCTGAGGAAAGAATCTCAGAGCAGAAGGTTGCGTCGGCTCTGAAATGCTGCGGGAGGGCGTGAATCCTGCGTGCCTCGGGGCTTCGCTAGAGGGGCATCTGTGGGGGGAATCTTAGATGCACTCCGGCGCATTCTGCTCTGTGGAGAGGCGTGAGAGCCGTGCGAGGTCGGGCTGTGAGAACACCACAGCACAGGGCAGAAGAGGTGAGTGCTGCCCTGGACTGTAAAGCAGAGGAACCACCGTGCAAATCTGAAGCCCGTTTGGTGAAACACCTGGTGAATTTGGCTTAAACTGCTTTCCCCTGAAAGGAACCATGGGGAGCCTGCGTAGGGGTGCTCAAAGCTGGCGTAGATAATTTAGGTGTGATTAATGAGGGACTGACCTGTCTGGGAGCTAAGAATGATCTGGGTGATTCCTCAAGATCCCAGGTAGCAGACCTCTTTGCTGCGAGCCTGTTGAGAGCCAGCGGGCTTTTACAGTGTTTAATTAGACTGAGGCATGTGCTGCTGCAGGGGACTGTTAAGGCTCCAGAGTATCTAATTGCCATCACTAACTTAAGTTCTGTTTCAGATTTTTTTTCCTCATATTCCTGGTTTTATATCCATCTGCAGTATAAACTGGTGTTCAGCACTGTGTGGATAGAGAGTGTTCCATGTTTGCTTCAAAGTTATGGGGAGTGAGAGGGGATTCTGTCTTCGTTTAACTTGATTCTGACAGGCAGCAGCCGTTTACTATTCCAGCAAAACAGCTGGCCATAAATAACGCGGCAAGTGCTGTGTCAGTGACTTCAGACTAAAAGTAGAGGTACCGAGTTCTCGGGCGGCGACCTCTGCTCTTGCAGGTAGCCCTCTGTTCGCTCGTGCTGGAGTCCGTTCTCTTCAGAGGAGCCTTGTTTTAGGACTCCTTCGGGTGTGGTGAATAAAGCCATGCTGTGCTGGAAACCGTGTGGATGAAGGTGTTCACCTCTGATGGACAGGGCCTGAGGTCCTTGAGCATTACTTGGAAGGATGCTTGTAAAAGAAAGATTAAAGTAGAAAAGCTTATAAATATCTGAAAAGCAAAGTAACATGCTGAAAACACCTTTTGTTTTTTTTCATTGTTCAACATTCATGCTCCTCTCCCCCCAAAAAAAGCCAGACTAAGTAGTGACACCCTGATTTTTGTACTAAGAAGGTAGCATTCATCTTTAGCACAGGAAGCATCCCTTAAAAATAAGGTTATTTTTGGAAGAGTGCAGAGTACTTTTGAGAAATCATTCAACGTGGACGCTATTCAGCTTTTATTAGAAGTTTCAGCCAGCAGGTAGGTAACAAGCGTGCTGGCAGTCCCCCCATTTGAATTCTTCTCTGTTGCTTTTTTCCTGTAGGATCTGATGAGCACAGTGTCAGGAACCGTAGCCTTTTTCCTTTGTGAAGGGTGTAAATCGCATAGCCATGTGCCATATTCAAAGAGGTTTTCTTGTGTGCTTTCAGAGTTTGGAGCCTCTTCCCATGGGTGGGCCAGACTTTGGTGCCCTGGGAGAGGAAGCTGAACTGGTTGAAGTTGAACCCGAGGCCAAGCAGGAAATTCTGGAAAACAAAGATGTGAGTACCTGAACAGCATCCGGATTTTTTCCTGAAGAGGAATGTCTTGGCACCCTTGCTTGCTTATTTCTACCAAGGGAGCTTTCTGAACTGTGGCTTGAGATGTGAAAAAGTTAAATTTAGTTCTGTGAATTTCATCAGATGTTGTCGGGTTCCTGTTCTTTTTCTCCCTCCCGTAGGAGTTGTTATTAAAATTCAGCTCTGAGCTGAGAGACCTGTTGCCAGATGCTGCTTTCCCCTCTCTCTCCTAAGAGATTGCTGGTTGGGAGCAAACCAAGCAGCTGCCCTCAGTCTGCTGCAGTGCAGTGCTAGCCAGGTTAGGACAAAGTGCCCCCACCTGAATTAGGTTACTAAGAGAAATGCTGACTTCAGCAGAGGATGGTCATTTTTTTTTTTTTTAATGTTTCACCTGTGAGAGTGTGTCTTGTCTTGCCCTCTAATCTGTTTAGCCATGGTAGAGGGGTGAGATATCATGCACTATCTTAGTTTTTATTAAAGATTTCTTTTCTCTTGCAGTACTCAGAGTCATCCTCTCTAGAAGCTTGGTAATAACATTTGGTTTTTATTTAGCTCGTGATTTATATATTCTGATAGGGGTTTTTTTCAGCAATTTGAAGTAATGCTGGGTTGCTCTTCTGCTGCTGTTTTATTATATGTGAATACATGAAAGCTTTGCAGATTATTATTTTTGGACACCCATAAAATTATAATAGACTGAAAAGTTTGGAAAACTAAGGGAAATGCAATCACTGTAGTCCATTTGTAC